ATGTGAAACTGGATCACCCACTGATAAGTATAAAGGTAAAGTGGCCCACCCACCCGGAGCTTATCCCGTTTTCCTTAATACGAAGTGACTAGGAGTATACCCCCCTCCCCTTGGGTGGGATGCTAGTCCATTGCAAGGTTTGAATATTGTTGGGGAATGCATAGCTGGCCTTTGTTCCACTTGTTAGATATGACGTCATCCATAATCAAAATGGTAATTTTCTTTCAACATTTTTATCTTATTCTCTCCGATTCCCTATCAGGAGTTCTCGGTGTAGACGAATCTGTGAAAAAAAGCTACTGTAAAACTATGACTGAGAAAAGTAAAGTTGTGTCGATCCTGACGCTCGCCGAGAGGGCTGGGATGTCCACGGGAATCGTTACTACCACACGAGCCACTCACGCGACTCCCGCGAGTTCTTACGCGCACTCAGTTAATAGAGATTGGGAAAGTGACAAAGACATCAAATCAAAGGATGATGGAACCACATGCAAAGATATCGGTAAATAAATGAGATTGTATTTAAGTTGCTTTAAGGGAGACTATATCAAAAAGACCAGTCTTCCAAGGTCAGCATACCTAGGTAGGAAATAAAATACGATTAGCAGTGACGTCAACTATTTATTAAGGACAGTGCCTGCTGTTGCCACTGCGCACACGCCCGGCGTTGTCTTGAAAGGTTCCATTTTCAAAGTAATTAAGCTACTTTGACGGCTTCGTTTCGTTATGAAGCGGTTCAATTTTTGGGATGCAATGCTATGGTTGACATTTGTTCTGTTGATTTGTTGTAGATTTAAATGCGTTTGGTGGGGTGTAAGATAGGAAAGTCGTCAAAGTCTACAGCGAGGTACTATTAACCGTGCGAATGATCCGTCACGGTCACTGCGTTTTTTCCCTTGGGGAAAGATTGAAAATGAATAAGACGTGGCGGTTTTGTCCCTCCTGAAGGTGCTTGAGGTCCACGTTCTTGTTCAGTGTGGTGAAGTCGCGAAACTAGAAGATCTGAGGCTCAAATTCTCACAGAAAACCTTTAAGTATTCTTTATTCCACACATAATACACATCTCTAGTTTTTCACAATTAAATTTTTTTTTTTGTATGCTTTCTCAAGCAACGCAGCTTGTCGAGTATCCTCACGGTAATGGTATAGAGGTTGTCTTCGCCGGGGGACGGCGGGAATTTATGCACAAAAACCAGTCAGACCCAGAGTATCCGGAAAAGAAAGGAGACAGGCAGGATAACAAAGATCTGATTAAACAGTGGCTGGAGAAATATCCCGACTCACAGTACGTTTGGAACAAAACTGCCTTCGACAAGATTGACGCGAATAAGGTTAATCGCGTGTTAGGTACGTCTTCTGAATCCGTTTTTCCAGACATGGCATTATGGTCGTATCACTAGTACTATCAAAAAAAAACGTCATCAAAATACTCTCTGACCCGCAGTTATACATAAGCTTTCTCCCAACAGAAAACCAAATAGAACAATTTGAAGGATATAAGAATTGGGGCGAAAATTGTTGAGGGGAATGGTACATTTAGAAGTGGCGCTTATGTGGATACTGTGTGTTATATTTTTCGTTAAGTTATTTATTATCAATAACCTTTTTTCTTTTTTTCTTTTTTTTTTTTTTCAAAAATACTCACGAGGTAATGCACCTCAATCCTAGTGGTAAAATAGTAAGATTAGCATAAAGAAAAGGTTTATTCTTTCGTCTTTGTTACAGGACTCTTTGAGCCTTCTCACATGCAGTACGAATCAGATCGAACCGCCTCCAGTACACCTGGAGAGCCGTCAATTGCAGAGATGACTGAAAAAGCCATCAAAATACTACAAAAGAACCCCAAGGGATACTTTCTTTTAGTCGAAGGTATACATTTCTCATTGCATAAACGTAGATTTCTCGGTCTTAAAAATCGACAATAAACTGATCTAAACCACCCTATATCCTGAACGCATGCGAGAAATCACGTGTAAACTGGAAACAAGGTTGCTTAAAAACCTGACCTTGTTTACGATAGAGTGCCTTTATTTCACTTCCCTGTTTTAGACAAAAATTTGCATCAAGCTCAGTTATCGTGTTCTCTTTTCTATCCACAGGGGGGCGCATTGATCATGCACACCATGATGGCTCGGCCTATAATGCACTTCATGAATCCGTTGCATTCAACAAAGCGGTTCAAAAAGCAAAGGATATTGTGAAGACAGGTGAATCTGCAGAATTCTAAGCTCACTTTGCTTTGTTATTAACTATGATCTCTTATTAGCCTGAGACAGACGCATAGTATAAATTTTCAGCAATTTTGTGGTAGCATGAACAACAATGCTGTTATGTGGCTCATAGAAATTTAGGTCAAGTGTTACTTCTTATCATGAGAGTTTTTTATATCTAGAGAGACTTGAACAGAAAACCCTCTAACAATCATGAAGTAGAAAGTCTGCCTTTTTCATTGAACCCAGTTCAAATCCAAGAATACAGTGGTTTTGTTTTATTTCGCTCTTGTTTCGAAAATTGCTTCTTTTAGAAGACACCCTGATAACAGTGACCGCTGATCACTCTCACGTCTTCACAATCGGTGGCTATACAAAGCGTGGGAACCCTGTGCTGGGTGTACAGGTACAGGTAGACGGTAAAGTAGCCAATGATAACTTCGGTAAGACATATACCTCCCTTGGGTATTTCGACGGTCCCGGTGGATTGAATGGTTCCCGCCCAGACTTGCGCGGTGTAGACACAAAAGCCAAAGACTTCCTTCAGCAAGCTACCGTCCTCCTTGATTATGAAAGTCATGCATCCGAAGATGTTGGTAAGAATTAGAGTTGGCAAGAAACGATCAAGCTTAAACCTCTCCTTAGCTCTCTCACTCCAAGATCTCACTAGTGATTCTCCTTACTGTCTGATTATGATGGTTTTTTTTTGAAGAATTCAGTATTGGTATTGGATCCACTAATAGTCACGTGATTGATGCTTTTCTTTATTCTCATCACTTGCTTGCTTGATATTGCATTGATATTGTTAGGAGAAATTCTGTCTTGGTCACTCATGGGAGTCGTAGGGTTAAAGTAACACCTTAGCCCACTTTTCCCCTCTCCTGGTACATGTAAGTCATAGTACGCGTCGTAGAAAGTTGCCTGAAAAGTTCAATTGACACCAGATTTTTTTTCTGTTGAAAAATATGCCTATCCCTACATCACCGTTTCCTAATGTTTTCGTAGTGTTTTTCTTTTTAGATTTACAAAGGTTTACAAAGTTTCAAAATTTTGCGTTTTTTTCTGGCATTTCTGATCTGCTTGAAGAATGAGTCCTACTCTTGATATGACATCGTTTGAGAAAGATTGAAATTTAGAAGCGAGCAGTCAATCTACTTTCGTCACTTCTTGGTTAAACACATGAAATGCCGATAAAATAACTAACTAAACTAGTCAGAAGTCGCCTCGTAGTCATGTGCCTTTTTAAACTTGGTAAGTCATGATCTCTTTTTCCCTCTCGAAGTTGAGGCAGAACGGACTCAACCTCAGATAAATGTCAAAACGTGAGGATTTAACCAATTAGTGACGATTTCTTTTTTTTCGGAATTTCTCGAGTTAATTAAGCGATCCGGCCTACCGAAAAAAGGAAACTAGCACAGATTACGTATGAAGTTTTCAACTCCTCAACTACTAAACAGGTTATAGAGAGTATTTGTAATTTGTCTTGTCGTATTTCCAGGGGTTTTCGCAGACGGACCTGGTGCTTACTTATTCCATGGAGTAGTGGAACAGCCGTATGTCTTTCACGTGATGGATCACGCCCTATGTTTGAGTGAGAGTAAACAGGATACATGTGATAAGCACGTGAGCAGAGGTGGCCCGAATCCCAAAAGTGGAGGAAATTCTCTCTCTATGCCCACGGCAATGTATGCTCTGTTAATCATAGCCGTGTGGATTTTTCATTGAGTGAAGGTCACTTTGCTTTGCGATGGGATAGTTTATGACCGGTTTTGTTGCAAGTTGAAAACTTCTCTTGTTTTGCAAGCAAAGTCATTTATGCTCAAATTGATATTTACCTCTTCACACCGCTCTCTTTTTTTATTGAAACGTTTTGCTTAAGGTGTTGATTTGTAAGATTGTTTTCAGCAATGAAATGAAGAGTCTACCCATAATCATTGATAGTTAATGGCTGTAGCCAAAAAAAGTTTAAGCTAGAAAAAGAGCACAGCCGTGTAGAGATTAGTTCATTAAGCGATAATACCAAGATTTGTTACAATCTGTAAATTGCATGCTTTTTTATCGGTAGTTGTAGCACTGATTAAAGATATTTGCGTACTAATGAAAATGCAACTTCATCCCTGAGACATATCGAGAACACAGTTTGGTCATACCAGTGTTTATACTGAATATTATTCATATCCGATTAATTGAATTCCATTCTCAAAGATTAACTCGAAAGACCAGTTACCCTGAAAAGGGCCGAGAAACGACCGGGGAAAATATCACGAGCTGTTTCACACTTCGGCGCATAAATCAGCGTAAGTTTTACTTGTTCAAAAGCGGATTCCTAGTGAAAAAGATAAATAATCCACTTGTGAAGAAAATAACTTATGAAGCAACGTTTGTTGTCGTGGTGAAACACCAAACTAGGAAACATATGGTAGGACTAAGGGAGATTTACTTATCATAGAGCTTTTCGATAAAGCGTCGTAAAACAAAGGAAAAGTAATCCTAACGTCCAATTAGAACAAGGAGTCTACTTAAGGAGACCAGGAACTGAAACGAAAAAAAAAGAAACAGCCAATTGCCTGAGGCGCGGGAAAACGCGGGTGACCAAGTTGCAGTTGGTCTGGTTTTGCATTTGATAGGTTGAGATATTGCTGCGAACTTTTTGACCAATCAGAAGGGGGAAGCAAATCCCATGCAAACACGGATTGCCTGCGACTCTCAGGTTACAATCGCTCTATCATGGGAGTTAAATGGTTAACACTGAAACACAACTAGAGCACAAGCAATGTAAAGATTTCTCACTTTAATACAAATCTACATCAGTTTCAGTCTATTTTCCAGTAGAGGAGGTTGTACAATGTTTCCGCAAGTGCGCACCGTCGGTTATCATCGAATATCCAAAGCTTGCTAAAGAAGCCTTCAGTCATGTCCTTACTCTAAATTAAAGATTGGTTTTATCTCTCCTGAAAATTGAAAGTTGTATTCTTTATCGAAGAACATTGATTTTCGTAAGTTGTCCTTCAATGACTTCATGTGTTCTTTATGGACAACTCTCTGTGTTTTCAGTTGCCACAAGAAGAACGCGCAAAAGTGCGTTTTATTTCCTAGCTTACATTAATTAATTGTTTGTTAACTTACGGTCAATGTTCTTTCAAGAGCCGATTTATATTCTATAAACGAAAAAGTGAATGTGGCTACGATTCACTAATCATGACTTGTAAAGGTTGCCATCTCTAGTATGATACAATCTTAAAAACCATACAACTTTCGAAAAGTAAGTCACTTCGACCGAGCAGCTAATGTGGTATAGGTTGTCTTTGTTCTACGTAAGCGCTCGTATTTTGGTTATCGATCTATGAACGAGTCCTGTTCAGCTTGACTTGAACATGTCGCAAAGCAAGCTCTCAATAGCCACGCTCCCGATCGTTTGCCGGAAGAACAGTTCTTCAATAGTTTTAGGATTCACCATCCTCAGGGACGGCAGCATCAAGAGAAGCTTCCCAAAGCGAACTTGCTGACCGGGAAAGTGCCTCCTGATGTAATCTCCCAGCATGATCTGTGCTTGGTCTTGATAGCACTCCACTTGCTGTGGATCTCGCAGTCCTCTGAGCTCTGATTTTTAGGGGGAAAAAACTTTTGTCAGCGAGGACGGAACGGTTGGTTAAAGATTAGTGTAGACGGGGGGAGATGCAAGATTATCTGGAAGGGATGTTTTAACATATGGAGGGAAGGTATACCAAGATATGTTGTTAATTTAAAAAAAATTCACTTTCATTGACCCAGAGGGAGGTTAACAGATGGTTTAAAGCAAGTTTGAGGCGTGCATCTTTCATATTTGGCTTAACCCTGCGAGTCGGATAAGTTGTCCTCGTGACTTGAATTCTCATACAATTCACAGTAATATTTTAGTGCAATAGTGAATGAGTAAGTGAATTTTCGGACGGGCTTAACAAGCTGTGTGATAGGCTAGCTACTTGAATAGAACGTGATGTTTTACTCGGTGTCCACTGATTTCATTGACGCTCAAAACTGAGTTGACCACAACATTTGATATCGTTATACACAATGAAACGCCCAAGGAGTACCGTGTATGAGAGCAATTACAAAATTTTAATAAATTAAAGTTCTTTTTGGGACACTAGCCATGTATATGTAAAGGATTATTTACTTCATGAGAGCTTTTTTAGTCTTAGTCAACAACGATCTAGGAACGAGGAACATAGTGTTGTATGTACATCGCCTAATGTCACGAGAGATGTAAAAACAAAAAAATTTCCTAGTTAATTCACTCAGTTGCCCGTATGCCTATGTAAAGAAAACAGGTCAACCTTCATTTGACGACCGAGCTTTCAGATAAACAAACGTAAAGAAATCATGTGAACAAAACTTTTAGGGAGTGAGTTTTCTCTTGCTCTTTAAGATTTGAAGAAGAGGACAGACCAAATTTATTTTCCCTCATCATGCTACCCTTCAGCTGATTAAGCCACCGGAAGTCAACCCACTTTTCGAGTTTACGGGTGTATCATGTTATGTCCAGCTTCATTTCGGCATTCCTGTAAAGTTTTCCTTTCCTAAGACGTGTCTAAAACGTTTCAAAAACAGTGTCAATTGAAAGTTAATGAATAAGTCATAAAAAAGCTTTAATAAAATCACTGATTTTTACCGACTTGTATCGTGACTTACTTAGTAACGTGGTAAGTTGGGTCAGAATAGCAGTAAATTGGACATATTACCGAATAAAACTTGACATTCGAAGCATGACGGGTGGTAAAATGATCCCAGATTATTTTTTTATTGAATTACTCTCCAAGAAACACCTGTTTTTAGGAAAACCGCAGAGTAAAAATATCCGTCACGTTGCTTTCAAGCCACAGACACTAAAGACGAGAACTTTCATTATTTAGCATTGTTAGATATTATGTATCGATACAGAGACATTCATTTTATCATGCACTTTTAGAAGAAAATCGATATTTTTGCGTCATGGATTTCCTCCAATCCTGTGATATATAGAAAAAGTAGATTTGATATATCCAGAACTATTTAAGCTTTGAGTGATTCGAAAGTGTTTTGATATTCGAAAGTTCGAAAATATTTCATACCTTCTCGATTGTTTTTCCATATGCTAGGAGCATGCAACAGAAGAAAGGGCAGGAATAGAAAACTATACGCATTTAAATTTTTCAGTGTTTTCCTTGTCTGGTAACAACTGTTTTCTATTCAGAGCTTGTGGTGTGTAAACATCAAATACCTGCCCTTTACAATGCCGCCCAATTTTGGACTGCAGGCTGTAGATGGTAATCTTAGAGTACTCCATTCGAGTACCAATTTGTCTTGTTGCGGTATGTTCCATTAAGCACTTTGTTATAATCTCTATCCTCTCAAACCCACGTCAACTTGAAGTCCTTTGAAGAAACTTCGAACTCCGACAGTGGAATAACGAGACTCTAAACTATTTGACAAATATAAAAAACAAACTTCATATGTTTTCAAGTTTCTCACAAAAACACGCGTTGTTGCACTGAAGATCCTAAAACTCTCGCAATTGGTCACAAATAAATTGAAAGCTAGATTTCAGGCCGCCTGACTTAATGTTTTATATTTAAAGGCAAAATTATTCGATGCAGATAACAAGTCAGATGGGGTTTCTGCGACATCATAAATATGAAAGAGTATAAGTTTCATATTTGATTAAAGTTAATACGAGAAATTCACTACGGTCGTAATTAGGCATATTTCAATAACTGAAGCACACAGTCTTATTAAGAAATTCAATCATAGAGAAATGGTTCTTTTAATTATAAATGAGAAGCAGTGTAGGCTTGTTGCGCGCAGCAAAGCGTATTGTAATTAGCGTAAATTAAGCGGCTTTGATTTTTCTATGATATGGTTATTGATACGCACAGTTAATAAAGAAGAACTAAAAAACTCCCTACACGAGGCTAATCTTCTTGGCGTTTTAATCTAAGTGGTTAGCAGCGCGCGACTCCGACCTACACAACATGTGCTCGTGTGGAGTTCCAAATAGATTACTTGTTTCTAGAATAAATTTTACTTTCAAAATACAAGACTTCTAATTTTGAATCATTAGTGGGGTTTTAAGAAAGGTCAGACCATTAAGAACAAGAACGCCCATTTCTGTTACAAGCACTCAGTGTAAATGCTTTCTAAACCCAATCCATCACAAGATAAAGACCTCAATGAACCTGAGGCGTATGATAAGCTATTGTACCTTTTGCTTCGTTGTTTTTCTTTAAAAACGTGTCAAAAACAGTATACAAAGCATGGTTTTAATATTCTTCTGTTTTGTGCCATCACCAAGTAGAATAAAAGTTTTGCTTAACATGAAAATTAAAAACTTCCACATTTAAATAATAACTTTTGGAAGCAGTACTTTTCTTCAATACTTCATAATGTATGTCCTGTTTACATCTCGTAAGACATGTGAATATAATTTTTTTTCGAAAAACTGCTATAGAATATATTCCTACGAGAGATTATTCGGGGGGATTTATAATGCGGATTTTAGTGAAATGACGATATGATTTCTTATTTATTCAAGTTTTTTGTGAGATGCACATCAGCTTGACCACGACGAATGGGACAAATTAAACATAAAAAAAGGCAGTATATTCTTTTTAAAGCTCTGATGCTAAATTCTATCAACTCACCGGATTTAAAAAGAACCACTGCTTTCAAACACGCAAACTCCGCTTCGCCAACTTGGAGACTTCGAAATCGCGCACTGATTTCTTGCAGCATACGAATATCGGCCATAGTAGCGACAATCTTTTCCGCAGGCGTGTTATCCACATGCATTCCTGCCGCGGCCAGGAGAGGTGCTACCTCGAGAGGCATGTTCCACTGGACGGCTCCCATGATAAATAACTCCCTCCAGCCTTCCTCCAGCAAAATAACTTGATCTCTAAACGGCAAATTCACAAACGAAGGGATATTTCGCGCCCACTTTACTGAGATAAACAACAAACGCGCTGCAGATTCACAGATGGCATCGGGTGTCGAGCAGTACAGCGAGGTAGCGATTTCTTGTTGCGATGGATAAGGAATTCCTGGCGCTTGATGCCCAAAGCGATGTACGGCTTCCCGACAGGGTTCCGCGACAATCAGACTCGTCAGGAAGTCACTGTTCACGAGTTTGCTGGCGTATTCATCCCCCATGGGCGGTTTGAGAAGGCGAGCGGAATTTGGTTGTCTTTCTTGTTGCACGGCTAGAAAACGACAAAATAAGACAATTCGTTTGATATTTGTAGCAAAATATGAAAGAATTTGGACGTGATTCTGCTTTCTAAACAATCGCACGGCAACAGAAATAGAATGCACGGTAACAAGTGCGAGAAAAGGGATTTTTATAATCTATATGGCGAGAAACCTTTTGGGAGGTTTACGATCCATGGTTGCATATATCAATAATTAAGATAAGATTATAGGACAAAATTACAGTACAGTTTATAGTTTTAGTAGTTTTGAAAGAAATTCCCCTCCGAGCAATACTGCACGTTTTCTTCCCACAGTGAAAATACAATGTTTTAAATTCAAAATATGTAAGAGCATAAGTCTTTGATTCACTGTAGTCAAATTTATCGTTTTAATCAAAAAGTTGGCATGTTTCATTTAGCGCTCGCCTTGATTGTATTTGCTTTACACTTGAAAGACATTTTCACCGCGAACTCTTGAAGAATGTGTTCAGGTTAAACTGTATACCTATTCATGCAATTTAAAAGAGTGAAACTACAAGATATTGTTTTAGGCTACATATCGAAGTTATATAACCGTTGAATGAATTTTTTAGAAGGTCATGTCACTGGATTCCGGCCAAGGAGTTTTTTCTTTTCCTAGAGAATATCCATTTTTCGCGTCGAAATTTGTGATGTATATCGATAACGTGTTGAGCGCAGTAGCTATCTGTAAATTTGTTCTTGCCAATGCAGCCCTAAGACGTATTAATAGATAAAAGCTATGAAACCTTAACTATGAAATATTTAAAATGTACCACCTTGAGTAACATCTTGTTTGAGAGTGGCAGCAGATATTTTATTCATGCGAAGCATAACAAGGAACACCTTTTCAGAGACATGATTATATTTTTCTTTTCTTTAACCTTTTAATTTTTTTACCGAGAAGTTTGATATTCATTCGACTATTTGTGGCGACAGCATGGGATATTTCAGTCTTAAAAGAAAAGATATCTTCTTAAAATTAACTATCAGGTAAATTGTTGATCAATTTTAGGAAAGTGCAAAATGTATTGTTTAGAGCCGTTAACATTGCTTAGAAATACCTTTGCATCCTAGAAACGAAACGGTTCTGAACTTTTATAAATATTATGAAACCTATGCCTCATTTACACCGTCGATAACTCAATATTATGAAAATTGTCAGCCTTCAAGTCATACTAATTCTATCGTTTTTTTGCTGACAAAAGTCTGTCGAACTAGGAGACTGAACAACCGGTGCTTTTGTTTGGAATGAGTTCTGATGCTTTGGCCTGGCAACATACTGAAGATTGTCAATGGCCACACATTGTACTTGCATTTTCAAACCCAACTATGAGAACAATAAAAATTTCTAGAAGTTCTCTTAGTAGAAGCGTACCTGTTCTTTTAACAGTATAACCTAGGAAACGATTCACAAAAGGTTTTTTTTCAATTACATTATACTTGGCGCACGGGCCTCTCTGTTTATGACTCGAACAATACAGCGGGTGTTTTAGTGACACGTTACTTAACGAGTCTTCACATGGTTTGAAGTGCTTTCATTACGATAAAGCCAGAAAAACATCTTTTAAATGACTCGCTAATTTTCAGCCCTTCTCACCCCGTGGACTTGTTACCACAGAGACCATCCAGAAGCAGAACATTCCCGCATTCATTCCGCTGGTTATGACTTACTGACAGCATAAGAAAAGGAAAAAGAACCACCCTATTTTATTTGTCATTTCAATGCCATTTTTAATAGTAGTTATGTCATTGATTTTCTGCGACGTTCGTCTGACTCTTTCAGATCTGACGTTGAAAACTGTGACCCATCTTTATGTATTCTAGATCTGTCATCGACGCAAAGAATATAAAATTTTCGCAGTTAAACATATTATTTCGAACAAAATTAGAATGCAGTGTCAGTTCTATTTTGGATAAAAAAAACCTTTCTGTAGCTTTCTTTTTTAAAACCCTAATTTTTTTTTATTTCCAGTTAATATTGAAATTGAATTGCACATGGTTGAAAGAAGCTCTATGATTTGGAGAGTTAAGTTTCTCGACTTTATGAAAAGCGGTTAAGTTTTCTAGCGTGTCTAGTTAGTTCTCAGTAGACAGGAAAGGTAATATTCAACCTGCACGAACACTGCTATTTCAAAGAACGTTAAAACAAATGCGTTTGCTCGCAAGCAACGTAAGTGAGTTGAGGGCGCTGTTTTCTATCAAGGAAACTTGTAACGCATAAGAATTTCTGATAACACTAATTTTTTGTCGCAAATTGATTGTGGCTTTAAAATACTAGCAGCGGATAGACCTCCTGCTTGTTGTTCATCAGCGACATATCTTCGTAAAGGAAGAAAATATCTTGGCATTTAGTGGTTTCATAAAAAATCTTGGGCTTCATCAAATGAGTGCTTGGAAAGCAGCTTTTCACACGCAACTCAACAGCGTGACGAGAAGTTTGCGAAACTTTTTTTTAGAGGGAAGTCGGTGCATTTATAACATTATCAAAACTCGAGAGGATCAGATGACATAACAACCTGTTTATAATCGAGTTAAATTGTAATGTCTCATCCAAGACAATGTACAGAACGAAGCATAGAAAACGAGAAACCATTGTTCACTACAAACGCACGTACAACACAAAAGCTGTTTCTTAAACATAGCATACTATACGGAACCTTTAAGCAACTTACGTTCTTCGAAAAGAAGCTTAAAGGCGTCGAAAACGCGAATTAATGGCGAAAAATGGATATTTTCAGTGAAGGCGGGTTTTCAGCAACATCAGTAAGAATATCGTAAAAAAAAAAGGCGTTTCAATATTTTTAGGGCGCCACGCGTTTTTGTTTACCTTTGGATCGAGTTCCCACTGTCCGTCCCTATATTACAATAGTATATCACTATCGATATTAATCTATTCAAAACAAGCGGCGTGGAGGTTCTAAATTGCCTAAATTTCAAATAAACCATAATTGTGTTAACACCGGTTCTCTAGCTTGGCAAGAGTAATTTCTTTTCGTTGAGAACCCAGTTTGAATCAAGACACTGCTTTTGCTTCGAAGCTGTGCAGTTTAAGTAAGGCTTCAAAGTCCGAGTTGCACAAAGTTTTTTTTAAACCGAGAAATTGTATTGAGAAAAGACAATAGGAGCATTTGTTTCTTCACTGAAGAACTCAGTTTATTGTTTATCAAAGAATACGGGTGAGTTTCCTTTGAAAAGAAAAACACGGTCTGTCTATTTTAATGAATGGAACAAAATGTCTTTGCAATTGATCTGGTGATCACCTGCGGTAAACGATTTAGGGCGACATCCCAACACATTCAATCTTTTTCGCCTCCCAGAAGCCAAGAGGCGAATTTTCTGATGCACTAGTAGCTTATGTAGCGCCCTTTATACATTACAACTAAAGGAAAGCATCTCCTTCTCAAGGAAACCACCAACTGTTTTTTTTCCTCGTGAATCATTTGAAAGACCTGTTTTCACCTGTGCTCATTAGCTGGACATATGTCCTTCTCGGGAATGCCGCAGATTATCACTTGAAACAATTTACTGTTTTTCTAATCTGCCCGAGATATCATGCTAGCTTTTCATTAGGACACATTTATTTACTCATTTCGTTGGGAAACTCTAATTTCTTAGAGAACTACATGGCCTTGGCTTAGAATAAATAAACTTTAATTGCGAAGGTTCTTAAACCGCAGCTTGCGAAAATACACAGTGATTTGTTGTCAGCAAAGAATGGAAGGAAAGTTTGACGTTTCCTTTTTATTATAAAGATTAATTGGAACTAATTGCTGTCTTCGAAATTCAATGTATTTAGGGAACAATGTGGCTCCACCGGAGTATCAAAATATCATCTACCAAATATCTATCACATTGTCAAATTAAAGAAAATTCCGAAATACCAAACATTGTAAAATACGGTAAAAACCTTCGGGCGCTTTCAATCTTTATCAAACATATCTTCCCTAATTCAACTTACACATCAAACAGATTCTTGCAAATCGACTTTGGGAACTTTTCGACAAAATTCTGCAATTTTAACGTTTTGGATCTCCCAAGTAAACATTCTGTCGCCAAATTAAAATTTAATTTTTTCCCAAAGTGAAAGGAAATGAAGCGCATTCCACGCTACAAGGAAAAACATCACAAACAAAATCAGCTAGATTCATCATCGCTTCAAATTTTTTATAAAAGCTTTCCACCTCCCTTGAAACTTAATGATATATTTTAGAATGAGTTACAAAACAACACGTACAATGCGTTTTGCCCGTCGATTATTCGACAATGATACACTGGAATTAGGTTAAGCCCCTCTCTTAAGATATGTGCCAAAAACGAAAACAAATTTTATGATCGGGGCGAGTTTTAATTGCTTGGCCGTCCATTGAGCCACTTGCGGGGCGTGAGCGTGTTGCGTTGATGATGAGCTGATGGCGATCGAAAAATAACTTTACGAGTAACTTTCTCACTTACCAAACCTGTTCATCTTGACATCGAGGCATTTCTGAAACCGGCAAGCTTGACACTGATTTCGTCGTTTCTTGTCAACAACACAATTTCCGTTGCCCTTACAGGAGTAGACCATGTCTCTTCGCACGCTACGCATGAAGAAACCGCTACAGCCATCGCACGTATAAACTCCGTAGTGCCTTCCAGACGAAATATCCCCGCAAACTTTGCACAGCACTTCGGGTTTACGCTCAATCGATTCTTGTTTCTTCGGGGAAGAGCTCTCGCGCTCCATGTCTCGCTCTTCTGAATAATGCGATAGTCAAAACAAAAAAGTCACAAAACCGTTGAATGAGTGTCGCAAGACCCTAAGTGTCGAAGTTTTGAACTTGCTTTGGATTAATTTCAAATCTATCTGAGCAAAATAATACTCCAACAAGGCAGCGGAATAGAGTTTAGCCAAAGAAATATTTTTCACTGGTATAATAATTTTGGTTTCCTGTGATTCCATGGAAATGGAATAGCACCAGAGGAAGCCTTTCCCCAGGCGTAATTGAAATACCAAGACGAGCTACACAGTTACGCGCCGTCCGAAGTGAAAAAAATAAAGACGGAGTCTACATTTTTGTAGCGGAAACATAGCTACACCTCAGTGTCGTATTCTAGCTAATGGGATTTTAATTAAAAGTAAAACCCTTTAAGAACTCTAAACTTTTAAACTCACTCCATGAAAAACTTCCGTAGGCTTGTCAATAGAATACCGAAAGAATGAGTAAACTTAAACTCTCTTCGTCCTACCTACTACGGTGTGTTGTTCGACCTCCATGTCTTCACCGGACCAAAAAGCGGCGAGTAAAAATTGGCGAATTCCTCTTCGGAGGTCGTGGCGTTTTATAGTCTCTGACGAATGGTAAAGAGGCTTTTGGACTTGTACACTGCTGTCGCACCTTGTAGTTTGACTAGACCAGCTGCCAGGATAATCACGTGACCCACCTGAGCGGTGATTGGCTGGTAAAGCTAATTAAAGGTGGGTGCCTCAAATGAAAGACCGTGTAGATCGCTAGCATCTTTGTAATTTAATCTGCTCATCAATGACTTTTGTTTGGGCGGTAAAGTGTTTTCGCAGCTTTTTTACACTTTTATTCGCCATCAAAACAATTAGCGATCCATTGCTTTGAAATGTTGAATCTATGTATATAGAATCTGTAGATAATGTGTTCGACACGTGCTGTCCAAACAGGAGCCATATATCGTCCATATTGGAAAAGTTTCTTGTCCGCAAATACTTTCCAAACAACTTTCTCCGAAGACAGGGGGAGCTACAGTTGTATGGCTTTATTTTCGCAACCTACGTTGCAAGACATCATTGTATAACTTTAATTACAGTATCACCGCATTCAAAACTGCTTGTTTTCTTACAAACGGCTCATATCACACCACGAAATTTAATTATCGGTACGCATTATGTGTTTAGAGCACCGAGTGTGAATATAGGTAATTTGTGGCACGCGCCGCCCCAGAGTTTTCTTTTTCATTGCGAGGGTCTTCGATTGGCTTCCACAGAATTGAAATGGTTTAAATTTTAAAGCAATGAAATAGCTTTCTTTTTTTACCGATAGAAACCCCAAGGAAATCGATGTCAGATTTATTTAGGAGTTGCGTTCGGAAATTGCCCAGTGTCTTGTTCATATTGTTCTAGTCACCTGCCAGTGCTATATGCGTCAAGTTTAGATTTCATAATAATAGCCAAGTGATTTTTTTTCACACCGTTGTCACAAGGATAGGTTTAATTGTGATTTGATTTAGAAATTTTGCATCCGACTGTCAACAGGGACTGTGATATTAATAAAGGAGGCATAAACTCTAGCCTTGTGCTTATCTTTTGGTAAAGTACAAATGTTTTAAACCTTAAATTGCCCTGCTGTCATCACCGTTCATCTAACACTACGAGGAAATTGTTGCCAGTGCTTAGATTATACATGTCCGCGGTTTTACACGTTTTGTAAACATAAAAGAGATATTTTTCTATCACCAAGATAAATGTATAATTGATTAGAAATATCGATACGACATCTTAGCAGGAAGGGAATCTTCTAATCAATGGCTACCGGCGAAATTAACGCGTTTTACCGCACAAAGTATACATTTTTATTTTTACATCCGCTATCACTGTAGCATTTTGACATTTTTCGATAATTCTGAGAAATTTCACTCTTGTTTTAAGTAAAATAAGGGAAAATACGAGTTTTTTTTCAAGCAGTCATAGAAGCGAAAAGAATACAATGAAAATAATTTACCGCTCAAGATACTCTGCCAAACAAAACACGATTGTTTCCAAGATGGAATTAGATACATTCTAAGCCAATTACTAAGGACAAACTCCCAGTGGCTACAAAGACACTTGAATAAAATTTGATATTTCCAGATAAATAAAGACCTGATTATGATCCGTTGAAAGTTTACATTAGACTAACGTCCTTCACCGCAGCAGATGGCAAAAAAGAATTGGCTTTTACCCTTGAAAATGTAAACTCAAATTTCCTCTCATTCGCATTTGTTTGCTCATTCTTTTCTCAGTCGGTCTAAATTGAGATGGCCGCTGTCCTGAAGAATAAAGTCTTTGTTTTAACACACGTTTTTTAATATCATTTTAATAAACGTGCACAGCAGAAATGTCATTCACAGTGCCAAACAAGCCATCAGATAATCAAAATACCTCGATTTATTCCAAAGTTTCATAAAACTACACAACTTGAGACGCACAAACCGGTTGCTTTGGCTCTCTATAAATCTCTTAATTTCTCTCTCTTCCTCTTTATTCCCTTTTTTACCCGAGCAGTAAATTTAACAAAGCTATTTAATAGAAGATGGATCATTAGACAGGTAGTAATGATTCAGTTAAAGAGTTACGCTGGTCAAAATGTGTTATTTTAACTTTATCTGATCATGAAACAACTTCAGTTTTTCTCATGTCAAACCATCTCTTATCCTTTTGCTGAAAGCGCACATTATTTTTTCTCAAAGACGGTGTATGAAACTTTTCAGTACAGATTTTATGACGCACAAAAATGAAACCGAAGTTTTACCGTGGAATATGTTTTTTGATAAAATGTCCGCGCGCTTTGCGCAAAGCGTCTAAAATTGTCCAATTAATATTTGTAAAGAAAAAATAGAAAGTAGAGTAAATATAACATGATATCTGATTGCTTTCTAAAGATGTCATACCCACAATTTAAACCTGAAAAAAAGCGCAATTTAATTAGACTAAAACTGCTACATAATTGGCCATTTTCTTTGAATTGGTTTTTAATTCCGGCTTATTTTACAAAGACAGAAAGTGGTTTATTTACTTTAACTATTCACTTTCTGTTAAAAGGCGCATCTCCGGCATCTAATAAGAAATAAATTGGATGTGAGTTTTATCCTCCGCTACATCTTCGACACTTACCCTGAAACAATGCTAATGTTTTTCACCTGCACTGCATACCCTTCCCTACGATTTCCGTTCTTGAGGAAAGTATCTCTTTTGTATCTGACTATTAAACCTTACTGTTTTTTGTTTTTTTTTAATTTTATTTTTAATAGAATTTCCAGTTGTCCTTCTAAAGTTCAAATTTTACATGGGTGGAAAAATTAAGAAAACTACCTTCAATGTAGAGGGGATAGTCTCAAAGTTCATGCCGCGTTTTATGATTCTGTGAATTTGTTTGCTAGTGACCAGCAAACATAGATTTCGTGCAAACGAAAAAAAATATACCAATTGGCATCCGTTTTCGGGACTTGTATACTGACAAAGGGAGATTCGCCGTTTCGTTTGGAAGCCATTAGTCAGTAAAACCACTGGCTGAAAATCAGTTTTTAGATATATGTTTCAAAGTTCTTTTTTTCTGCCAAAGGAAAAAGATAATTTTAGTTTTCGTCAAGTTTCCAAGAAAATAAATGAAATACGAGAACGTTTGGTTTATTTCTATCGTGGTCTTCGCAAATTTTCCACAGCATACAAATGCAATAAGATTGAGCTACTGTCATTATCATTATTTTAACTTTTGCCGTGTCCTTGAAGCATCGTTGCTTTGTGTGACAAAAGACGCTGATTTAAAACAATTTCCAAAATCTAAGTGAACATATCCCTTTTTTTGAGAAGAACAAAGGATTAGATCTGCATTTGTTTCATATTTAGACAAACGATTTATTTCTTAAGGCCAATATCATTTTTCAGGTACTTCTTTACATCGCATATTTATTGAAATACATGAAGAATAGCTTTATTTTCTTCCAGTTTCATAACACGGGCCTCGATAATGATTACAACAACTTTCATTTAAGGTCAGTTTAAAAACGATTGATGGCGTGAGCGCAATGAGAATGTAACATTCTATTCCAACCAAGTCAAAGAAAATAACTGAGTATAACAAATTACGCTACGTGTAAGATACAAATGTTGATACTACACCTGATAAACAGTTGCGCAACGACACTTTTAAAGACCTTTGGGCTGCAGGACGATAACACTTTGAATTCAAAGTCCTCGAATTGTAGAACTGGTGCATTATACTGGCGGGAAATTTACCCTTACCGTCAGCAATATCCGACGAGTTTTTGCAAAAATCTTTTCCTGACATAAACTTGATACTTACACGTTAGCATTTTTTTAAACCTTTCCAATCACAAGAGGCTTACTTTGGTCCGATAATCACGGCTGTCCAATTTTTGCTCCTCATAAAAGGGCTCAACAACAGTTCGCTAACAATCGCGTGTCCGAGGTCGAATTCATCCAATAATCTAAAGTCGAGATTAAATTGTTTAATTGTATTCTTTGATTATGATGGAAGGCCTCGAAACCAAGCGGCAGTTACCCGTCCCAGGTAACATATGAAGTTCTCCGACCGCCCCCCCCCTCCCACTTACCCTTCATCCAACCCCCCCTTACGGCTAAAGGATAAAATGTTGGGCCATTTTACAGCTGGTTATGTTATTTTCTTTCCGTTGCAGTCATAAGAAAAATTATTACGGTTGACTTTTTTCGACTAACGGTTGAATTTCTCAATTTTTACGCCTACCGGCTAAATTTTGTGGCTGTTTTACGGCTTACGGTCAACCTCATTGAGATCAGTTATCACTTTAAGATAGCGCTATGTACTTCTCATATACATTCATCGTATTGAAACTTCTACTCTCTCTCATTGATTCGATTCTTATCACATTTTGGACGGAGAAAGTAAAGAAACCCAATAGCTGGTCGATAATTAAAACAGGTTGCAGAAAGGAAGTTTAACCAACCGTATTTTAACTCAAGACATTCTTAATTAAATCATAAAAAAAGCCGTTTTATTGTATGGTACTGAGATCTGAATTTGAATTAGCAGGGTGTGTGTGCACAGCGATTTATCTTTAACAATCTTTTCAATTTTCAGCGGCAGAATACATATTTGATATTTGTACAACTGACACGATTTAAAAACAGTTAGCACGGACGCACGTGTCACCAAAACAAGAAGCCGCCAGGGCATAAAATGATTCGAAAAAAGAAAACGACAAAACTAGCGAACCGTTCTAGAGGATTTGATGTTTGAGTGTCATTTAGAAACTTTGATAGTGTTGGTCAGCAGAACTGCGAAATGATGTATATAATATGAGAGACGAAAGAGAACTTTCATTGCCTTGTTGGACATAGCACGTGGATAAATACGATGTTTCTGGGCGTCGGCTTCACAAAGTCAACTTTTTCGCACGGCTTTGTGAACACGCGTGAGTGCGCCTCGGACTTCAAGTGAAGATAAATTATCAATTGAGATTAAAACACCGACAATGAAGTACTACTTGCATTCTTTCTAAGTTGAAAAAGGGCAAGCGATCTAATATTTTATCTCTCAGAAAAAGGAACAACACAGACGTCTGGTCTATTATTGCAAGCG